TCCCAATTTTGAGTAGCGACCTTTTATTGTGTACTGTGTTGGCCACCTAAAACTCTTTGCATTGAGTAAAATTCTAATTGCCAATAATCCTACCCATTGGATTAGACAGCACTCTGAACTCCATTTGCATTCAGCAGGGGGTCTCAGACAACCCGTCTTTTGTTGGACAGTTAAAATGCTCAGTCCCAATTGTCATAGCTTTGCGTATTAAACAAAGGCACCCTACTGCGCTTTTTGCTGTGCTTCTGGAGAATCCTGCTGTTCTTGGACGATTAAAGAACAAAGTAGTAATTGCTAATTGTCTCACCCATTAATCTTGAAGGCTACCAGTCGCCCTTGCATTTGCCTTGAGGCAGTGCTGACTACCTGAGATTTAAGAGTTTCTTAAATTATTGAGTAAAATCCCAATTATCCATAGTTCTGTTAGTTACACTATGGCCTTTGCAAACATCTTTGCGTAACAGCAGAGGGACTCATTCTTAGAGCCCCTTCCCTTGGAATATTAATGGATACAATAGTAATTATTCATGGTTCTGCCTAACAAAAGAGACCCACTTATATGTATGCCCTTATCATTGCTCCTACTTAGTGTGAACTGCCTACCACCTGGCATTAATATGTAAAACACTAATTGCCTATGGTCCCACTCGTTAGTCTAGGATATCCCCTTTGCCATTGCTGCTGAGTTCTGACTATCCAAGTTTCATTCTCTTAAACAGTTGATATGCATAATTGCATATATTCATGGTTCTGTGCAATAAAAGTGGATTCCCACCCCATCCCACCTTCTGTGGGATATTGCTAACGAGTGCAGATTATTCAATAATAGCCTTTGGACAGTTAATTTGCACAGTTGCAATTGTCCAGAGTCCTGTCCATTAGAAAGGGACTCTGGACTCTGTATCCTATTTGCATGTTACAATGTGGGCTGATCACCCAAGGACTCTTCTTGTGCATTGATGTTCATAATTGTGTTTGTCCACGATCTTGTGCACTAACCCTGCCACTCCCTTTGTATTCCAGCAGGGGACCCTTACTACTTAAGACCTCTGTACTAGGACAGTTTATGTGCACAATCCTAAGTGATTAGAACTGAGTCTTTTATATCATGGTCCCTGCATCATCTTTGCTTTACATCAAGAGGGTGCTGGTTACCTAATGCCCCTCCTCCAGAAATTATTGATGTGCAAAATGCAATTTCCCTATCTGCTGTTAGTCTGGGGTCTCATCCCCTCATATTCCTTTTGTCTTACAGCAGGGGGTACTTGGGACTGTTAATGCGCATAATTGCAATTATGGTCTTTTCCATTAAATTAAGATCCCAACCCTCTTAGCATTACAGTAGAGGGTGCTAATCACAAGGACTCTTCTTTTGTACTGTTAATGTGCTACTTGCATTTGTCCCTCTTCCTGTGCACTAAAGACCCCACTTACTTCCCTTGTGCTCGGGAGTGGATGACCTCTACTCAAGACCTTTGCACTAGGATAGTTAATGTGAACCATGGCAGTTGATCACAGCAATGTCTTTCAGATCAGATCCATTGTACCCTCCTTATTTTACAGCAAGGGATATTAATTACTTGTGTTACCTTTCCCTGGGACTATGAATGTGCAAAATTCCAATGTTCGTGGTCTCTCCCTTTAAACCAATATTCTACCCCTTTTATATTATATAAAGGGATGCTGGCAACCCAAAGTCCTTCTCTTGAGACTCTTAATGTGTATATTTCTAATTGTCCACGACTCTTAATGTGCATATTTTCAATTGTCTATGGTCCCTCCCAATAAGCTAATATCTTGGCTTCTCAGTATCATAGCAGGGGGTACTGATTTCCTGAAGTCTTTCTCGAACTTCCAGTGTGCAAAATTGCCCTGAGGCCGGGTGTGGTGGCTCACACCTGTAATCCCAGCACTTTGGGAGGCTGAGGTGGGAGGATTCCTTTAGGCCAGGAGTTTGAGACCAGCCTGGCCAACATTAAAGAAAAATAAAGTAGAAAAGTTGCCCTGGAATCCCATCCCCCTCACCCCTCCTTGGCATAGCAGCAGGAGTGCTAACTAGCTAGTGCTACTTCTCCTATACTGCTTAAATGCGCATAATTAACAGTAGTTGATGTGTCCCTGTGTTAGAGTGGAATTCCTGCTTCCTTGCTCCATTTGCATTATTGCAGGAGCTTCTAACTAGCCTGAATTCATTCTCTTGGACTGTTAATGTGCATACTTATATTTGCTCCTGTACCTTTTTATCATGTAAGGACTCCGCCCACTCTATTTACATCCCAGCGGGAAGTACCTACTACTTAAGACCCTTCGACTAGTAAAGTTAGCATGCATAATCTTAGTTGTTATATACACATTTTCATTTGTACACAGCTGTGCCTTTTATCAGGACTCCTGTACTTATCAAAGCAGAGAGTGCTAACCAACATTAAGTCCTTCTTCGGACTGTAGATGCATGTAATTGCAGTTGTCAATGGTCCTTCAATTAGACTTGGGTTTCTGACCTTTCACACCCTCTTTACTTTATTGCATGGGGTACTATTCACTTAAGGCCTCTTTCTCAAACTGTTAATGTGCCTAATGACAATTACATTAGGATCCTTCCTTTTGAAGGACAGCATGGTTGGTGACACCTAAGGCCCCATTTCTTGGCCTCTCAATATGTGTGACTGTATTTGTCCAGGTTGCTACGCACTAGAGAAGGAAAGTGCTCCCCTCATCCCCACTTTTCCCTTCCAGCAGGAAGTGCCCACTCCATAAGACCCTTTTATTTAGAGAGTCTAGGTGCACAATTGTAAGTGACCACAAACATGCCTCTTGGACATTAATGTGCGTAATCGCACACTGCTCATTCCATGTGAATAAGGTCCTACTCTCCGACCCCTTTTGCACTACAGAAGGGGTGCTGATAACCAAGTTCCCTTTTCTTGGCGTGTTATGTGTGATTATAATTGTCTGGGATCCTATGCACTAGAAAAGGAGGGTCCTCTCCACATACCTCAGTCTCACCTTTCCCTTCCAGCAGGGCGTGCCCACTCCATAAGACTCTCAAATTTGGACAGTCAAGATGTGTAATTGTTAAGTGAACACAACCATGCACCTTAGACATGGATGTGCATAACTACACACAGCTCATCCTATCTGAATAAAATCCTACTCTCAGACCCCTTTTGCAGTACAGCAGGGGTGCTGATCACCAAGGCCCCCTTTCCTGGCATGGTATGCGTGCGATTATGTTTGTCTTGGTTCCTGTGTACTAGATGTGGAAGCCTCCCCCGCCACACCCCCACCCCAATCTTCCTTTCCCTCCGGCAGGGAGTCCCTGTTCCATAAGACCCTTACATTTGGACAATCAAGGTGCACAATTGTAAGTGACCACAGGCATGCACCTTGGACATTAATGTGCATAACTGCATGCGGCCCATTTCATCTGAATAAGGTCCTACTCTCAGACCCCTTTTGCAGTACAGCAGGGGTGCTGATCACCAGGGCCCCTTTTCCTGGCCTGTTACGTATGTGATTATATTTGTCTGGGTTCCTGTGTGTTAGACATGGAAGCCTCCCCTGCCACACCCCACCCCCAACCTTCATTTCCCTTCCGGCAGGGAGTGCCCCCTTCATAAGACGCTTACATTTGGGCAGTCAAGGTGCACAGTTGTAAGTGACCACAGGCACGCACCTTGGATATCAATGTGTGTAACTGCACATTGCCCATCCCATCTGAATAAGGTCCTACTCTCAGACCCCTTTTGCAGTACAGCAGGGGTGCTGATCACCAAGGCCCCTTTTCCTGGCCTATTATGTGGGTGATTATATTTGTCTGGGTTCCTGTGTATTAGACAAGGAAGCCTTTCCCCCCCTCCGCCCCCACTCTCAGTCTTCCTTTCCCTTCCAGCAGGGAGTACCCTCTCCATAAGACCATTACATTTGGACAATCAAGGTGCACAATTGTAAGTGACTACAGCCATGCACCTTGGACGTTAATGTGCATAACTGCACACGGCCTATCTCATCTGAATAAGGTCCTACTCTCAGACCCCTTTTGCAGTACAGCGGGGGTGCTGAATCACCAGGGCCGTTTTTCCTGGCCTGTTATGTGTGATTATATTTGTCCTGGTTTCTGTGTAATAGACATGAAAGCCTCCCCTGCCACACCCCACCTCCAATCTTCGTTTCCCTTCCAGCAGGGAGTGTCCACTCCATATACCCTTACATTTGGACAATCAAGGTGCACAATTTTAAGTGACCACAGGCACGCACCTTGGACACTAATGTGCGTAACTGCACATGACCCATCCCATCTGACTAAGGTCCTACTCTTAGATCCTTTTTGCAGTACAGCAGGGGTGCTGATCACCAGGGCCCCTTTTCCTGGCCCGTTATATGTGTGATTATATTTCTTCCAGTTCCTATGTAATAGACATGGAAACCTCCCCTGCCACACTCCACCCCCAGTCTTCCATTACCTTCCAGCAGGGAGTGCCCGCTCCATAAGATCCTTACATTTGGACAATCAAGGTGCACAATTGTAAGTGACCACAACCATGCACCTTGGACATAAATGTGTGTAACTGCACATGTCCCATCCCATCTGAATAAGGTCCTACTCTCAGACCCCTTTTGCAGTACAGTAGGGGTGCTGATAACCAAGGCCCCTTTTCCTGGCCTGTTAACTTATGTGATTATATTTGTCTGGGTTCCGGTGTTTAAGACATGGAAGCCTCCCGTGCCCCACCCCACCCCCAATCTTCCTTTTCCTTCTGGCAGGGAGTGCCCGCTCCATAAGAACCTTACATTTGGACAGTCAAGGTGCACAATTGTAAGTGACCACAGCCATGCACCTTGGACAATAATGTGTGTAACTGCACACGGCCTATCTCGTCTGAATAAGGTCCTACTCTCAGACCCCTTTTGCAGTACAGCAGGGGTGCTGATAACCAAGGCCCATTTTCCTGGCCTGTTATGTGTGTGATTATATTTGTCCAGGTTTCTGTGTACTAGACAAGGAAGCCTCCTCTGCCCCACCCTACCTACCTGTAATCTTCCTTTTCCTACCAGCAGGGAGTGCTCACTCCATAAGACCCTTATATTTGGACAATCAAGGTGCACAATTGTAAGTGACCACAACCATGCATCTTGGAAATTGATGTGCATAACTGCACACGGCTTATCCTATTTGAATAAGGTCCTGCTCTCAGACTCCCTTTGCAGTATAGCTGGGGTGCTGATCACTAAGGCCTCTTTTCTTGGCTTGTCTGTATTCTTGTGTACTAGCCAAGGATACCTTCTCATGGACTCCCTTTGCTTTTCAAGAAGGAGTACCCACTACTTTAAGATTCTTATATTTGTCCAAAGTACATGGTTTTAATGGACCACAACAATGTCCCTTGGACGTTAATGTATATAATCACCACATGGTTCATCCTGAATAAACAAGGTCCTACCCTCTCACCCTCCATTTGCAGTATACCAGGGTTGCTGACCCCTAAGTCCCCTTTTCTTGGCTTATTGACATGCATAATTGCATTTATGTGGGTTCTTGTGCCCTAGACAAGGATGCCCCACCTCTTTTCAATAGTGGGTGCCCACTCCTTATGATCTTCACATTTGAACAGTTAATGGGAATAATTGCAGTTGTCCACAACCCTATCACTTCTAGGACCATTGCACCTCTTTTGCATTACTGTGGGATATACTGCTTGCCTGCAAGGCCCTTTCTGGTGGACTATCAACATACATAATTGAAATTTTCTTTTGTGTTTGTCAGTAGATTAAAGTCATACCCCATCACCTTTCCTTTGTAGTACAGCAGGGTGTCCCGATCAACCAAAGTCCTGTTATTTTGGACTGTTAATATGCGCAATTACATTTGCTCCTGGTCTGTGCACTAGACAAGGATCCTACGTACTTTCTTAGCGTTTTTAGCAGGTAGTGCCCACTACTCAAGACTCTTTCACTTGGAATGTTCATGTGCACAAACACAATTCTCTAAGCATGTTCCTGTACCACCTTTGCTTTAGAGCAGGGGGATGATATTCACTTAGTGCCCCTTCTCTTGGACTTAATATGCATTAATGCAATTGTCTACCTCTTCTTTTAGACTAAGACTTGATCTCCACATACTCCCCTTGCATCAGGGGCATGTTAATTATGAATGAACCCTTTTAATATTAATGTCACAATTTTATTTGTGGACCTGTGTAGTAGAAAAAGACCCTATGTTCCTTCTACTACCCTTTGGATTGCTGCTGAAAAGTGCTAACTACTCATAATCTCAGCTCTTGGACAATTAATATGCATTAATAACAATTATCAAGGGCACTGATCATTAGATAAGACTCCTGCCTCCTCATGCATACATCAGGGGTACTGAACCACTAAGGCCCCTTTTACTGTTAATGTGAATATTTGCAATTATACATGTCTCCTTCTGTTAGAGTGGGATATTATGCCTTAGTATCCCCTTTGCATTACTGCAGGGGCTGCCGACTACTCAAAACTTCTCCTGGGACTGTTAATAGGTACAATGGCAGTTATCAATGGTTTTTTTCCCTCACTGATCTTGTTAAGCACCCCACCCCACTCTTAGTTTCCCATGGCATAATAAAGTATAAGCATTGGAATATTCCATGCACTTGTCCATCAAACAGTGGACCATACTCCCACCCCTTTTGCATTGCACCAGTGTGTAAAGTCACAGTTAGCCATGGTGTCATGCTTTATGTACGAAGTCTTCCCTCTCTGCCCCTTGTGTGCCCTTGGCCCCTTTTTACAGACTATTACTCACAATCTTAGGTATCCATATATCCAGATATTAGATAAGATTATGCTCTCCCTCCTCCCTTCCCCCTGCCCTGCCCCATTTGCCTCTTTGCTGGGTAATCTTGACTGGACAAGACCCTTTCTCTTGGACTTAAAAAATACTCAGTTGCACTTTCCTTGGTCCCACCCATTATACATGAACCCGTCTACTTCCTTTTGCATTACTTCTGAGTATGCTGGCCACCCAAAGCCCCTTCTGTGTTCTTAATGAACACAGTACTGATTGTCCCATTTTTTCAGCCCATCAGTCCAAGATCTCCCTACCACTTTGGTGTGTTTGTGCAGTGTTGACTATGAAAAGCAGGCCTGAACTAGGTGGATAAGCCTTCATTCATTTTCTTTCATTTATTAATGATCCCAGTTTCAATTATTGTCAGATTCTGGGAACAAGAACCATTCTTGCCCACCTCTGTTACTGCTTTACTGTGCAAAATACTCAAGGCAAGTCAGACCCAGGGAGCTGGATTGCCATCCTTTATTTTGTGTTTCCAGTATACACTATCAAATTGTCTCCCCAGGAAGGAAGGTTGGCACTTTTTCTGCATTCTTCTTTCCAGAGCAGATTGTCTGGTTAAGAATCTCTTGTTGTCCCCTTTGTATATTGTTATTGTAAAGTGCCAAATGCCAGGATACAGCCAGAAAAATTGCTGTTATTATTATTAAAAAAAATTTTTTAAGAAAGACATCTGGATTGTAGACTGGACTCAGTAACCTGGTCATTATTTTTTTGAAGCCAAAAAATCCGTTTATACTATGTACCTGATGACCAGTGTCTCATTTTAACTGAGGGTGGTGGGTCTGTGGATAGAACACTGACTCTTGCTATTTTAATATTATCAAAGGCGTTCTGGAACGGAACTCTTAAGACCAGTGTCTTTGTGTGGGCTTTACCAGGATTCATTTTTAGAAAAACTACCTAAATTTTATAAACCTTAAATTTCTTCATCTGGAGCACCTGCCCCTACTTATTTCAAGAAGATTGCAGTAAAACGATTAAATGAGGGAACATATGCAGAGGTGCTTTTAAAAAGCATATGCCACCTTTTTAATTAATTTGTCTATTATATAAAATGAAGCATTTAATTATACTAATAATTTGAAGTAGTTCGAAGTACCGCACTGAGGTGAGGACTTAAAAATGATAAGACCAGTTTCCTATTTTATAAGAAAAATAAGCCAAAATTAAATATTCTTTTGGATATAAATTTCAACAGTGAGATAGCTGCCTAGTGGAAATGAATAATATCCCAGCCACTAGTGTACAGGGTGTTTTGTGGCAAAGGAGTATGTAACATGGAACTGCTCAAGCAAATAACTAGTCATCACAACAGCAGTTCTTTGTAATAACTGAAAAAGAATATTGTTTCTCTGAGAAGGATGTCAAAAGATCGGCCCAGCTCAGGGAGCAGTTTGCCCTACTAGCTCCTCGGACAGCTGTAAGAAGAGTCTCTGGCTCTTTAGAATACTGTAAGTACTACTTTGTAGCTATTAAGTAATCTTTTTCCTATTCTATTTTCTTTCTCTTAGATGCCACCTATAGAAAAGTCAGAGGGTCCAGTAAGTTTCTTTCCTTCTTCCCACCTCATCTGCAATATATATATGTGTATATAGGTAGATAGATACATACATACATAAATAAACATATGTGAGTTAACCAGCAGAACTGTAGAATTAATACTGTGGACCCAGCTCTATGCTAGGTTACACTGATAACCGGGGTGGGAATGATATCATCCTATATAATTCCATTCCTGAGACGGTTTTATTGTTGAGGAGCTAATATAAGCACATTTGAAATAACTTTAGAAAATAATAATAAAGTGCTGTTTTGTGTGAATCATAAGTAGTAGTTTTAAGAAGGGAACCCACAAGGATTTGAAGTTGATAGAATAAACTTAAGGAAGTGGGTTTGCTTTTTCTCTTTAAGCCGAGATAGGATTAATATTGCAGCCATCTGGATAGTCCAGTTGGTTTATTTTAATTTCATTCATTTTTTACCTCTTTTGGAGCCATGGAAAGAGATGAAAGGGATAGGGCATAGCCATTGTGTTTGGCTTTTTGCCAAGGTTGGCAAATTAGTGATTGTTAAATCTCATAAGCTTGAGTATTTTAAAGTTCAGAGATTGAGGGTATAAATCTAATACTTCGGCTCTTTCCACAATTTTACTACATTTCTGCCCAAGAACAGATGACCATGGATAATGCATATCATAAATACTTTTTTAGTTTGGAATCTTTTTGCCAAGAGCGTAGTGGAGAAATGAAGTCAAAACCTTGACCTTCCTTGCCTACTTTATGCTGTAGTTTATATATCCTCTTTCCTCCCAGCTTTTGTAAAGCTAAAAGCAGCTTAGCCTCCTTAATGTTTTCCAGCTGAAAAAATATTGTTTAACATAACATTTGAAACTTTTTTTCTGGTGCACATTCATGCATCGCAGGAGGAGCAACGAGAACCATATAAATGAACTGGCTTCACTTATAGGCCATTTTAATTCATACCCATATTTCCTCATGGCTTGTTTCCATGCCCCCCACCCCCACTCCAGATGCTTTAACAACATTGTCTGACTGACTGGGGGTAATATACATCATGGTCTTGAGCCTTCTTGGAAACATGGTCTGTGCCATTGTTTCTCAAACTCAAGTAATGCTTCATGATGAAATACCTAAAGGAACAGAATTTTCTGAGATCCTAAAAAAATGTGTTTTGAGGAACACTGACTTAACAAAGGTATTTGAAATGGAAATATGTTTTACAATTTCACGTTGTCTTTGTCAAAGATGTGTTTTATGTAATTTATGTAGAACTTGGGGATCCATTAGAATATATCCACAAATCCCCAGGGTTATCACCCTAATTTGAGAAATACTGATCTATGCTTATGAAATCTTGGGTTGCTAATTAAATTGTCATTCATTGTCGACATACAATTATAATTATTATTGGAATTTGTTTTAAAGGAATGAATTTAGAGGTGATTCTGTACCTTAACTCAAGAGGAAGGATGGCTTGCTTTTAGGTGGATTGATTCTGCTAGATAGCATCCAAAGGTGAATCTTGAAGCTGTATTTAAATTCATTGCTTAAAATAATTTCTACCCTTAAGAGAAATCTCTAGCAATTGTAAAAAGGGATGCTCTGGAAATGTGGGCATCTTCAAAATAGAGATAATTATTGTGTTAATTCAGCAAATATTATTGTTCCAGGTGCTGGAATAAATAGCAAAACCAAAGACAGGATTTATATCAAGGAATTTGCTTTCTTATGGAGGATGCAGAAGGAAATCATCATGGTGTTGGGCAGAAACGCTTAGACTTTAGTCCTGGCTCTGACTTGGGTTCAAATCACCATCAGTCTGACCATCTCGAGACTGCTAGTGAAATAAGATAGGGGCTTAAATCAAATACCTAAATCCCTGACATTTTGTGATTTAGAAAATTTTCAAAAGTCTAATAAAAGAAACATTTTTGTGGCATTTCTCTAAATGATTATTGTTATTTCTTTTCTGACTTTTCCCTTTATAAAACCTTAACATGTAGGATTGGGGGAAGTTTACCATTTTCTCATATCCTCTTTCAGCTTTATCTTTCTGTAACTTCCATTTCTCTAGCCACTTCCCTAAATTACAGAAGACTATGAGACCCAGGGCTGCTGTGATTAGGCATTCATAATTTCTTTTCAGGGTGTTTGTGCCCTAATTATCAAATGTACAGCTTGGAGGGAGTTCGTGTCTTAAAGTAATGAATTAAGAGTTGACTTTTGTTGACTGCTAAAATATTCTTATATGTGAAAACATCCTGGAGAAATGTGTTACCAGCTTAAAGAGAAACTAATGATTATATCTGAACTGAGCTAATGCCTCTTCTGTTCCCCCAAACCCTATAAGTTTGGATGGCAAAGAGTAATGATATGTCTGGTTAAACAGAGCTAATGCCTTCCTTTGCCTTGTCTTAAAGACTGGATTGGGAGAAAATTGATATTCTCACTACCATATGTTGGGGTGTAGGCAAGTAGCATTTTACACAGGTTTCCTTCAAAATCCAACTGAAGTTGGAGCTCATGTATTTAAGACATAGCTGGCCTGCTGAGTTTAACAAGTTAAACTTCAGTGGCCATGTACAGTTATATATCACTATATGTATGTGTATTAGACTGTTGAGTTGGATATGTTTTTGTTGGTGACTTGGGCTTTATTTGATAGTTCTTACTTGACCTTTCCAAATTGAGTACTGATACATGGAACCTGAGCTCCTTTTGCATCTTATACAAATGAGTTTGGTAAAGAAGCCTCTCCTTTACTGTTTTGATGTTTGTATTGGAAATAACTTTTGATTTTTTTTTCATGTTAGGATGAGAGACTGAAACAAAATATAAATTTGAACAGTGCTAGACTTCTTAAATTATGAGTAGACTTAAAGTATTATTTTCCTTAACCAGTTAGAATGCTATTCTTCTAGTGTCCCCAGAAACATGAGAGGTTATGCAGTAGACCCAAGTAATACTCTCTTATTACATAATCTAATCAAGTATACATAAGAATTTAAAAATAGGGATGTGACTGGAACATCACTGTACTTTACCAGGTCCCATTATAAAATTATCTATGTTACTTTACCCATAGCTTTGAAAACTATTTGGACATACTATAAAACTATTTTATAGTATGCTGTTAGTGTGATTGGCATTGAACAGTGATGGGATATAATCACTCTACAATCTATATATCATTAAAGTTTTCCAGCCTTATAGCTCTCCCTTGACTGAAAATGAGCTACTAACTCACTGACTTACTTTTTACAGCAGATTGACTAAGTCTTTCCAGGAAATCTGTTGATGTACAAAAACAAAGTTTAATTGCTAATGTTTTTTAAAAAATAACTTTTTGATATTATGGATACCTGGTTATTTGGGCCTTGTATATTTTAACATCAAAATTACCTATTATAAATCCATATAAACAGAAAAGAAAGAGAGTAAGTCTTTAGGTCAGATCTGCAAACAATGATGGTACCTACTGTAGCAAAATCTGGAACATAGACTTACCAGTTCTCAGGTTCCGTTTTGCTTGCTTTTTAAAAACTGTATCTTATAAGTCTTCAGCATCTGATTGGGAGATTTTTTAGAAAAAAATACCCTTTTAATGTTAGAACAGTGTAGAGATTTACAGAATGATTCTGAAGATAGAGCTTTTGTGTACTTCACACCCAGTTTTTCCCAATGTTAACATTTTAAACTAGTTTGGTACATTTATCACAACAAACCAATATTGATACATTATTATTAACTAAAGTCCATATTTTATTCAGATTTCCTTAGTTTTTTCTTAATGTTCTTTTTGTGTTCCAGGATTCCACTGAAGATACCATGCTGCATGTGTCCTTAGTAGTCGTGTCTCCTTAGGCTCCTCTTGGTAATGACAGTTTCTCAGACTCTTTGTTTTTGATGAACTTCACAGTTTTGAGGACTAATGGTCCAGTATTCTATAGAATGTCTCTCTATTGGAATTTGTCGATGTTCTTCTCATGACTAGATTGGGTTTATGAGTGTTTAGGAGGAAGACCACAAAGGTAGAGTGCCATTCTTATCATTTATCAAGAGTACATACTATCAACATGACTTATAACTGTTTATGTTATCCTTAATCACCTGTCTGAGGTACTATTAGTCAGGTTTCTCCAGCATAAAATTAGTCTTTATTTCTCCATTTCCATACTGTACTGTTCACATAGAAAGTCACTATGTGCAGCTGGCACTAAGGAATGGGAAATTATCTTCCACTTTGTTGAGGGCAGAGTATTTACATAAATTATTTGGAATTCTTTTGCATGGGATGTCTTTTCTCCACAATGTACTGTGTTTATTCAGTCGTTTATATTAGTATGATCTCAGGGATATTTTATACTTTGGGTTATAATACAGTATTACTTTATTCTGTTGTTCAAATTGTTCCAGCTTTGGCCATTGGGAGTTCTTTCAGTTGGCTTTGATGTAACCCCATGAATGTGGGTTTTTTGTTTCAGCACTTTCTTATTTTTGGCACGACAAGATGCTTCAGGCTCATTTGCATATCTCCTGCCTGGACCTAGAATGATATATTTCTCCAAGGAGCCTTGATACTTTTTATTGGAGAGTAATATTAGAAATCAAGAAGTGAGTGCTAAGTGCGCTCATTGCTACTGGAGTGTCATTCCTTCAAGACCTTTTCAGTTGACAAGAGCAAGGAGATACATGTTTGCATTCTAACTTGTGTATATGCACATATCTATAAATATATATAACCATCTGTATCTATATTAAACTAAATGTGTTTATACCTACATCTCCAACTCTAATCATTGCCACATGGATCATTATAGTCTCACCTCCTTGCTTATCTGTTACCTCCCATTTCTACAGTGAGAAACCTGGCTTGGTTGGGAAATTTTTCTGTTAATATTAGGGTAGTGAGTATTTGACATTTGCTTCTATGGTTAAGTTTAGGGAGAGTTTAGCTGTAGGGTATTCTTGAAACTAGAAATGACCTTTTTGCCCTAAATGTTTCTGCCAATTTTGAAACGTAAAATAGGTTGCAGAAACAAACTTTTATCTTAAGAACCAGAATTTACTTCAATCCACATTTTGACATTGATTTTCAGATTAAATTATTCTGATATCGCCAGGTAAGCTGTTCCTTGGGTATGCATTTCTACATTTCTTCTTTCAGTTTTTTTCTAAGAGCTAAAGGACCCTGAGAACATTGGAGGTGAGAAAGGAGGGGAAAGGCATGTTCACATGTGGATAGGAAAGGTTCATTTACTGACCTCCAGCTAGCCTTCCAAAGTGCCTATTTAAGACCACAGGAGTAGATGTCTTCCTTGGCAATTGTAACCCAAATGTAATTTTTAACCTTTCAGTTTTAGTCAAGAAAGTTGGTGTGCTGTTACAAAAACTGCCCTGATTAACAGCATTGCCATGTGCCTTGCATATTAATCAGCAATTTAAAATAACACGAAATTGTGTTGAGTATAATTTTAATATTTTATATTAGATATTAGTTTGAGACAGTGTTTCTCAAGTCTGGATAATAAGTTTGATAGTACGGAGGTTTTCTCTCAAGAAAAGAATTATTCAGTGTGCACCTACATAATCCATCGCTTAGATTCTACAATTAATATTTTGCTATATTTGATTAAACTTTTTCTGTAGAAGAAAAATATTACTATGTACTCTTTAGGTTTATGGGAATAATTGTTAAGTTAAAGTGTATGAACAAACCTGGGATGAAATCTGTTTGTCTACATCTATAATACAACTATAAAACATAGCAGATGTACAAATTAGTAGTTAATAGATAACTAAAATGCAAATATGGTACTACTATTATAGTATTATAGTTTCTTTTGAGTGGTGTGTCTGTACTATCACATGCTGTGTTGATGCACTTCACCAAACTGCTGTTTTCAAACTGCTTTAAATCCTGCTGTTATAGCACATAGCAATGCTATTTGGCTTTCATTTGGCACAAAACACATTTATATATTGTTTGCTTCTGTTCTTTTCTATTATCCCCAGGCAACAAAAGTAGAACATTTGCCACTAATTTGGCAATGTGGTCCTATATTATGAGATAGTCATATAGCTGATCTAGACTATCCTTACAGTGAAATGAGAGTATTGTAAAAGTTTTGTAGAAAGCTCCCATACATCCTGAGAATCCATGCACAAACCCCAGAGTTAAAAGATCTTTGAATTGAGGGAAGACATGGGTTTAAGTATCACTTGGCCACCTGCTATTTGTGTAACATTGAGGTAGTTTCATCTTCTGAGTTCCCAGTTTCCTTAGAGAATGAAAATGTTGAATTATGTTAATTTAAAAAAAAATTTTTTTTTTTGAGATGGAGTTTCGCTCTTTTGCCCAGGCTGGAGTAAAGTGGCACAATCTCGACTCACTGCAACCTCCTTTACCCAGGATCAAGCAATTCTCCTGCCTCAGCCTCCCAAGTAGCTGGGATTACAGGCGCCCGCCACCATGCCCAGCTAATGTTTGTATTTTTGGTAGAGACGAGGTTTCCCCGTGTTGGCCAGGCTGGTCTCGAACTTCTGACCTCAGGTGATCCACTCACCTTGGCCTCCCAAAGTGCTAGGATTACAGGCATGAGCCACTGCACCAGGCATATGTGATTATTAATATCACTTCTATCTGTGACAATTCTGTCTGATGCTGGAGTATTTGAACCAGATGGCTGCCTATGCCACTTGGCTATTCTCTCCATAATACTTTGATATTTCGTTGGTCTGCAATATGACAGATTCTCAAAATTCTTGTCCGTGAATATTGAACCCTAGTGAAATGTATGGTTTTGTATCAGTTCCAAAATGTAACTACTTTCTCTAGCCTTAGATTCCCAGTTCCAAAATGTAACCATTTTCTCTAGCCTTAGATTTCCATTAAGGGAAAGGGAATGCTCCTTGAGTATGTCATCACCATAGTGACAGGCAAAACTAGAGGGCTTTGATGCTAAAGCAAGATACTCCATAAATATGGTTAAGAAGACTTGGGGAGACTGGAATAGTTGTTTCCTTTTAGATGCCAGTGTACAAATGAATTTGAGCTAGGATCCATTGATTTAAAATTTCTTTAGGTCAGTTTGCTTGCACATGGAGTGCACATTTACTCTTCATTAATGGAGTTTCAGGAAGCAGTAGAGTAAATGCATAAACATGTATGAACCTCCATGTTTAACTGGAAGCCTGCATTTGGAAGTGAAGTATCTAATCTTAGATTAAATTAGGATAGGGAAGGATGTTGGCAAGAGATTTTGAAGCTTGTTGTGCTCATATTGAGAACATCATAGAACAGTTTGGCCTTTTTAAAGCTAGAGAATAGAGTTGAATAAGGGATCTTCCATACATTCCTGTTTGACATTGACATAAAGGTTTTGTCATGATACAATAATCCCTAATCAGGAATCTGGAAGCCTGTATTCATTTAAGGTCCTCGGGTTTAACATACTGGGTGCTTCTCACACCATACCATACCATGCAAAATGCTTTCAAGGCTGCAAGTTTGGCTTAGATCCGCTTTAGTGAGCTCCTGTGCTACAGTAAAGGTAGATAGCCAATTATTAAAAACAATCAAGACAATTGCACCTCTAAGCAGTAGTAGCAATTGCCACACTACCTTGAATCTTGAAGTATTTTCAGCAACAGGATGACCATTAGCCACAAATTTAGCGTCAGCCCTTAAGGTCGGTATTAGTTTGACCCATATTTTCATGTAGTTCTTTTTCTTCACTTGTCTAATCCTCCCATGATACCGCCAGGGCTTGTTATTAGAAGACTTTAGGGAAACCAAACAGGCTAGAAAGTAGAGACAGGAAATGCTTATGTCTAATGCTTCAGTTTATACTTCCTAGGTTTTTTTCGTTGGGGTTTTTGTAACTCTTTTGGTATCCTACTGGTGCTTTGGTAGCCTACTGAACCCTGTCTTTCTTCTCAAGGACATTCTGAGCATGTGAGACCCGAGGACTGCAAACAGCTGCAAGAGGCTTCAAATTCAGCATATCGTTCCTTTTGAGAATCTGGCCAAGCTCCAGCAAATCTACTTGGATGGGTTGCCAGCCACCTGGAGAAAAAGGTAGTTCAGGGAATTTATTGTTGTAGGGCTTCTGTCTTTGGCTTTAACTTCCTATAACTCTCCTTTTTAAAGCAGAACACAGCTGGGCACGGTGGCTCCTGCTTTTAATCCCAGGGTTTTGGGAGGCTGAGGTGGGGGGATCACTTTAGGCCAGGAGTTCAAGACCCATGTCTCTACAATAAAGTAAAATAAAATTAGTCGGGCATGGTGGTGTGTGCCTGTAGTCCTACCTACTCTGGAGGCTGAGACAGCAGGATTGCTTGAGCCCAGAAGTTCAAGGCTGCAGCGAGCCATGATTAGCCACTGCACTCCAGCCTAGGTGGCAGAGCAGGACCCAGTCTCTTAAAATGAAAGAAAAGCAGAACATGAGCCAGTTTTCATCAATTCCTATACTTTTTCTTTTGCATATACACATACATTTTAACTTTTCATAATGAGTTTGGCCTGTTTCATTTATCGCTCAGAGCTGGGCTCCAGTGAGGTCTGTAAGGGCAAGCATACTTGATCCCCATTTCATAAATGAAGAATGAGAGATGCAAAGCAATAAGTTATTTCCTTTCTCACCACATAGTTAGCAAGAGAGATACAATGAACTTAACATCTTTTGATTAGTGGGCTTTTAAATTATTCCCACTTTCCTTTGGCAGATGGATATTAAGTTCTCAGGATTTGTTTACAAATAAGACCAACTTCATCTGTATTAGCTCAGTTTTGGTAGGCCTAATTCCATTATCACTGCCATTTTCTTGTTTTAAGAAATTGAAAGTTTCTTAGTTTGAAAAACAATTGAAATTTTTAAAAAGTAGAATAGGAGAGCCCTGGGGCGGGGAGGCTGTGTAAGGAATTTACTGAATCTCTAGTCTTCTGTACCTTGTTTTTCCTTCTGCATAGATTTGCTTAACTGTTTCTGTGGTGTTTTTTTTTTTTTTTTGTCGGGATGCAGTTTCGCTCTTGTTGCCCAGGCTGGAGTGCAATGGTGCAGTCTTGGCTCACTGCAACTTCCGTCTCCCGGGTTCAAGCTATTCTGCCTCAGCCTCCCGAGTAGCTGGGATTACAGGCATGCGTGACCATGCCAGGTTAATTTTGTATTTTTAGTAGAGACGGGGTTTCTCCGTGTTGGTCAGGCTGGTCTCGAACTCCCGACCTCAGGTGATTCACCCGCCTCGACCTCCCAAAGTGCTGGAATTACAAGCGTGAGCCACTGCGCCTGACCAGCTGTTGTTATAACTGGAGTTCTGTATGCTTGTGACCATTCTTGGTTTCTCTGAATATCCTAGAACTTTGGTGGCTCCTTATTACACAGGTTGTTGAAGAAATGTTACCATGTGGATTGAGTAGAAAACAGCTCTCTTTATCTTGGCAATATTATGGCATGGCACTACTTAAAGTACAAATTAAAAGAGGGGAATGCTACAAAACTAGCTGACAGGCACTTTGATTGAGGTGGATTGCTCAGTTCTTAAAATAGCGCTTTATAAAAGAAGCCAGAGGCATTGTGGAGGAGAATTTTTATAGAATTCGTAGGGTTAGACCACATTGGACCTTTTCTGTGTGGCTTCATGGCTCTCTTGGTTGAGAAAGCATTAGCTTCTCCTTCCATTAGTTTCAACCTCTTGATTTCTTGATCCCTCTACTATATTTTGTGCTGAGAACACAAGGGCATTAACAACCCACATTCTAGAAGATCGCTCATTAATAAAGACTGGAGAATAAAATGCAGCATGGGGATATTGGCAATTATTCAGTTCTAAATTTCTCTTGGAAATGAGGGAAAACATACAGAATAGAGCTGGGACAAATAGGACAATTTTTTTTTTGTTAGGTTGGTAGCCAGAATATAACAGCTCTGCACAACTGTAAATGTCCACTCTTCAATCCACATGAAGAAAAGGGTAAACATGGTTGAACTCAACCACTAGTTGCCCATTAGGAGAGACTTTCCCAGTGTACTCCATTTCAATACTTTTCTTTTATCTCTTTTTCAGATCTTCCTCAGAAGAACAGGCTTGTTGCTTTACAGTGTTAGTGATCCATTCCCTTTGACGATCCCTAGGTGGAGATGGGGCATGAGGATCCTCCAGGGGAAAAGCTCACTACCACTGGGCAACAACCCTAGGTCAGGAGGTTCTGTCAGGATACTTTCCTGGTCCCAGATAGGAAGATAAAGTCTCAAAAACAACCACCACACGTCAAGGTGCGTAAGCTGTCCCTAAAAGCATAATAAGTAGTCTTAATTTTGATTTTGTTTTCCAGTATACATTGCACTTAGCGTTTCACTGAGGTTGTATTCATCATTATTCTGCGTATGATTTGGTAAAGACAGCTTCCTAATTTACCTGGGAAGCAAGTGGGTGTGAGATTGGTTAAATTGATGATGTAAAGAGGGTAGCAGGTTGCATGTGTTCGGGTGTTTAGAGTGGGACTATAACGTGTGGCAGAGGCTTACAGCTAAATTGTTCTTTCTTTTAGGAGAACATGGACAACTGTCACATCAGTGACATTGATCACATGGGCAAATCATTCTGTTCCATCTGGTCCCCAAAGTCTCTCTTAAAGCCTTACAGAGGAACTTTGCCAATCATTTACATACTTCGGGATGGCTTGGGATGCCATGGGATATAATACGACAAGTGAGAGGTGTGTCTTTTTATACTATGGTTGCTGATTGATGGAAGCTGCATAAATACAAATGGACTAAAAATGGCACAAAGTTATCTGTCATCAGGCAGGAGCTAAAGAACCAGGACCCTACATTCTCTAGGTCAGTGTTGGGAGAGGCTGATTAGCGAGTGAGGATTGGCAGATAAAGGTGACCATTCAGTGCAATAAATCCTGATCGTATAGGCTTTGCCCAGCATTTTTCATAAATAGTGGGTACCTATAAATTTCATGAAATATTTTCATGGGTAAGAACTCTCAAAATGTTATAATTGACTAGAAAGCTCTGTAGATTTAGAAATAGAGAAAGTTACTAACAGAAATTGTTAGAAAGCCTAGGAACTAGAAAGCTAAGTTGAGAGTTATCTAGGAAGATCTATCTATTGTACTCAGAATCTTTAGATAAATTCTCCTAGGGCCAGTAGCCTATGTAAATTTTCTTTTTCTTTTTTTTTGTTTTTGTTTTTTGGTATTTTAGCTGCAATGTTAAACAACCTATGTGAATTTTCTTATTGTGAGAATACTTGCCTTCCAGAGTGACTCACCTTTATCTCAAAGAGCAGTATTACGAGTTTTGGAAATGCTGCTCTGTGGCTGTGTTTTGTTAGTCCTGAGCCAGGAGACTTAAATAAAGCAAACTTGAGGTGGTCCTAAAACATTGAAGTGAGCCTTAAACATTGGAAATACCTTATGTTTTTTCCTCTCATATCTATTATTTTTATGATCTCAGTTACTAATCATTTAAAGGGACTCCTAGCTGATTGGCACTTAAAACAGGATCGTAGTTTTTTTTTTTGAGATGGAGTTTTGCTCTGGTTGCCCAGCCTGGAGTGCAGTGGTGCAATCTCAGCTCACTGCAACCTCTGCCTCCCGAGTTCAAGCGATTCTCCTGCCTCAGCCTCCTAAATAGCTGGGATTACAGGCATGCGCCACCACACTGGGCTAATTTTGTATTTTTAGTAGAGACAGTGTTTCTCCATGTTGGTCAGGCTGGTCTCAAACTCCTGACCTCAGGTGATCTGCCCACCTCAACCTCCCAAAGTGCTGGGATTATAGGCGTGAGCCACCGCGCCTGGCAGTTCTAGTCTTTAAGGTATAAGGCTATGACTGGTGGTGGTGTCTCTAGTGACTCATCAAGTGATATTTGGCAAGACATTTTCCCATTTATTCCAGTTTCCTGTTCTGTTGAATGAGGAAATTTTCTCTCTAAAGACCTTAAAGTTTTGACTTTGTAGGTTTCAAAGTTCTGTGGAAACGGTTTCTATTGCTTATTAATTTCAATCTTACATAACTCTAGCACAGTACTCAATACTTACGGCATTTACATGGTTTATCTCATGTGTTTTTATAGCTCTTCATTGTTCCTATCTGCCAAATCATTACACTTCCTACAAGCAGTGCAGAGAACTGAGTCTTCAGCAGGTCCAAGAAATTTGAACACATTGAAGGAGGTCAGCCTTCCTACCTGAAGATCAACATGCTTGGCACTCTAGCACTTTAGGATAGCCGAATGAAGTAAGTTGTTGGTGTTGCAGTCCTGTGAGGCTCACTTCAGAACTATTAATAACAGCTGTTTTTTGGGAGCTGGTGTTGGATGTGGTGTGTTGGTCTAATGTGAAGTGGGGCTAAATGTGAGATGGAAAGATGACCTGTCTTCCATATTACTAAGTTCACTGAAGCAACTCAAAGACATTATGGTCTTCTTACCAGTTGTATCATAGAAGAATCTAGCCTTTGCTTGAGTGTTCTGTGTCTTCACTGTATACGTCCTCTGTCATTCTTAGAGCCTTAAACATTGAGAAGCTTAAAACACCATTTCTGCTTTCTGCTGAAAGGGTAACCCTTTCTCATCTCCATTTGTGAGAGACTCTGTCGTCAGTTAAGATTAGTGTAAAAAGAAGACGAAACTCTGAAGTAGCCATTATAAAAGTGTGAGAATGAAGTCAGTTTTCCAAAGAGTTGGGGAAAGGTGATGCTAAAGGAGGGGATTGAGCAAGTCCTATCAAAGAGCCCTTTATGAAAATATTTAGTCATCTGTGACATCCCATTTGGCTCTTCCAGAAATCCTAGTGAATAGTTGTAACAGAATGTTAAGAGGCACACATTGTGTGTTTTAAATCCTCTGCTACTCATTAGGTATATGACCTTTGGCAACTTAAAGTCTCTGATTAGACTTGCCTGTTTGTGAGGGTTAAATGAAATCATGTATGTAAAGTGCTCACCTATTGCAGTGCCTGGCACATGGCAAGTAAAAGGTAAGCCAAGAAGACTCATAAGTTCATTTCCCACAATATAAGTGACCATTACTAGCACTATCAGGTAGCAGGCAGAGTTGGCATGCTTTGGTTCTACATAAGAAATCCCTAAGGTAAAAGTTTGTAAATAGAAGAGCATCTGTGTTGGTGTTGGTAGTTGTTATAATTATTATTATTGTAGTAGTATAAATAGTATGGTAGTAACAATAGTTTAATATAATTACTAATGACACTTTTTGATTTTTTTTTTATCTTTCTGTGATGCTTCTCATGCCTCTTGTGCCCCTCACTGTATCTTGTCTGTTCTGCTACTTACTTTCTCTGAATGTCTGCCTTTGCTTAGCTCTTGTACTCAAGTGTGTATTTCTTTGTCTCTTTCTTCCTTGTCTTTGCTCTTTGTTCTCTATCTAAAGTGTGTCTTACCCATTTCCATCTTTCTCTTGCTAATTTCTTTCGTGTGTGCCTTTGCCTCATTTTCTCTTTTTGTTCACAAGACTGGTCTGTGCCTTATCTTAGACGTGTCTCTCATTTTTCCTTTTGTTGCTGTTTCTCTTTGCTCTCCTAGATGTGGCTCTTCTTTCACGCTTTATTTCATGTCTCCTTTTTGGGTCACATGTGTGTGCTTTTTGTCCTTCTTTTGTTCTGTCTACTTCTCCTTTCTCTGCCTACCTCTCTTTTCTCTTTGTGAACTGTGATTATTTGTTACCCCTTCCCCTTCTTGTTCGTTTTAAATTTCACCTTTTTTCTGAGTCTGGCCTCCTTTCTGCTGTTTCTACTTTTTATCTCACATTTCTCATTTCTACATTTCCTTTCTGCCTCTCTTGGGCTATTTTCTCTCTTTTTCCTCCCCTGTGTGCCTCAGCATCTCTTGCTGTTTGTGATTTTCTATTTCAGTATTAATCTCTGTTGGCTTGTGTTTCTTCTCTGCTTCTTCCCTTTCTACTCACCTTTGAGTATTTCAGCCTCTTCATGAATCTATCTCCCTCTCTTTGATTTCATGTAATCTTCTCTCCTTAAATATTTCTTTGCATATGTGGGCATGTGTACGTGTGTGTGTCATGTGTGGCAGAGGGGCTTCTTAACCCCTGCCTGATAGGTGCAGAACGTCGGCTATCAGAATGAGCATTGTGGAGCGGTTCCTTATGCCAGGCTGCCATGTGAGATGATCCAAGACCAAAACAAGGCCCTAGAGTCTAGACTGCAGTAAAACCCAATACTCAAGTAGGACAGAAGGTGGAAGGCTCATATGGATAAAAGGCCCAAAGTAGAAGACAGATGGTTTGAGACTCGAGACCCGAGGACTAAGATGGAAAGCCCATGTTCCAAGATAGATAGAAGCCTCAGGCCTGAAACGAACAAAAGCCTCAAGAGCCAAGAAAACAGGGTGGTCTGAATTGGACAGAAGGCCTGAGTTGGATGGAAGTCTCAAGTCTTGAGTTTGAAGTCTTAAGACCTGGGACAGGACACATGGAAGGCCTAAGAACTGAGACTTGTGACACAAGGCCAAAGACCTAAGATTAGCCCGGGGTTGTAGTTGGAAGACCTACAACCCAAGGATGGAAGGCCTCTGTCACAAACCCTACCTATATGGATAGAGGACCCAAGTGAAACAGATATCTCAAGACTAAAGGCCGGAATCTGGAGGTCCATGACCTAGAACCCAGGAAGGATGGAAGCTTGAAGACCTGGGGAAATCCCAAGATGAGAACCCTAAACCCCACCTCTTTTCTATTGTTTACACTTCTTACTCTTACATATTTCCAGTTCTCCTGTTTCTCTTTAAGCCTGATTCTTTTGAGATGTACTTTTTGATGTTGCCAGTTACCTTAAAGGAACATATCTTTAGATTGACAGTATTATGCCTGGGCCAGTCTTGAGCCAGCTTTAAATCACAGCTTTTACCTATTTGTTAGGCTTTAGTGTTTTGTAAACTTCTGTTTCTATTCACATCTACTCCACTTGAGAGAGAGACCAGAATCCAGTCAGTATCTAATCTGGATTTTGTTATTCCCCTCAGGAGCAAACATTCATATAGGTGATACTGTATTTCAGTCCTCTCTTTTAACCCCAGAATTCCTAGACTGAGAAGATAAAATGGTCAGGTTGTTGGGGGAAAAAAAGTGCTAGGCCCTCTAGAGAAAAATGTGAAGAGATGCTGCAGGCCAATGAGAAGAATTAGACAAGAAATACACAGATGTGCCAGACTTCTGAGAAGCACCTGCCAGCAACAGCTTCCTTCTTTGAGCTTAGGTGAGCAGGATTCTGGGGTTTGGGATTTCTAGTGATGGTTATGGAAAGGATGACTGGGCCTGGGACAAAGTGAGTTCCCAAGGGGACAGCCTGAACTCCCTGCTCATAGTAGTGGCCAAATAATTTGGTGGACTATGCCAACCCTACTCCTGGGTTTAATACCCATCTCTAGGCTTAAAGACGAGAGAACCTGGGACTATTGAGCACATTTAATACTTTCCTTGATTTTTTTTTCCTTCCTGTTTATGTGGGAAGTTGATTTAAATGACTGATAATGTATATGAAAGCACTGTAAAACGTAAGAGAAAAACCAAGGCGTGCTCCTTAATAGTGCATTGGCAATCATGCATAGTTAACATTTGAAAGTGCATTGTAAATTGTGAAGCATTATGTAAATCGGGGTCCACAGTTTTTCTGTAAGGGGTCAAAATCATAAATACTTTAGACTGTGGGCCATATGGTTTCTGTTACATATTTGTTTTTTAAACAACCTTTTTATAAGGTCAAAATCATTCTTAGTTTTTGAGCCAATTGGATTTGGCCTACTGTTCATAGCTTACCACCCCCTGATGTATTATTCGTTATTCAGAGAAAATGTCTGAATACTACTAATTTCCTTTTTTGTGCCTGTCCCTGTGCTAGGCACTCAAAATGCAACGATGATTCACATGTAGGTGACCTGAAGAAAAATAGTGAATGTGCTTTGTAAACTATAAAGCACTTGTATTCTACTGTGATAAACATTGTGGATACAAAGAAAGGAGCAAGCATAAAAAAGTGCTCTTTCAAAAGGATATAGTACTATGCAGACACAAAGAATTGTTTGATAAATGAATAAATTATATGTGTATTTGAGGCCAATTTGTGTTTGCTGCTCTGGTAATTTTGAGTAAAAATGCAGTATTCCAGGTATCAGAAACGAAAACACATGGAAACTGCTTTTAAACTTTAAAGTATACTGAATACATAAGGGACTCAACTTATTGTGGTCACCTATAATGTGCCAGATACCATGCTGGGCACTGGAGCTACCAAAGGGGAAAAAAATACTCTCATAGAACAAAAAATTTCAGAAAGGTGCATATTAAAGTGCTTTGTAAACTAAAGCACAATACAGATGTCAATGGGCTACATATTTATGAATGAATGAATCAATGAATGAAATTAACTGCCTCTCACATATCAGCTATTGTTTTGGGTACTGTGAAATACAAGATTAATTCTCCTATAATAAGAGGAAAGTTTATTCTCTAGACTATTCAGATGTAAGGAATGAGATATTGCTTAATTTTAAACAATCAAGACTTTACTGGTGAGGTTAAGTTAAATTACTACCGGTACATTTTCCCGGGTAACCGGGAAGGAGATAGTATAGGAAATGAAGTAATAGAAGTGAGGTCCAGACCAAAAGTCACTTAATTAAGTTTGCGAATGTGCTTTCTAAATTATAAAGCACTTGTAAATGTGAAAAATTCGATGCTTTCTATATGAATAAAACTTTCTGTAAGATAGGTACTGTCTCTACAAAATTCTCATTGTATACTTAAACCACAATGAGAAGGGTTCTATACGTAGTTATACAAACCAAGGGTTTAAATACCTGTTAAATGGATCAATTTTGATTGCCTACTATGTGAACTCATTGTTAAAGGCACTGAAAATTTATCATATTTCATTTACCCACAGCCAAAAATAAGGCAATACCTATGTTAGCATTTTGTGAACTCTAAGGCACCATATAAATGTAACTGTTGATTTTCTTACTTGGTGCTGAGCACTAGGTTTATACAATTGTATGATAGTTATTATATTGTGCAAATAAAGTAGGAAAATTTGAGTAACAATGATTAACTTTTGAATACGCATATGCAAGGGATTGGGTGTCTGAAGAATGCCACTATAGTAGTTATCTATTGTGTGCCAATCTCATTGCTAGGCATTGGGGATGCAAAGATAAACCATCTTTATTGTGTCCTGGGTAGCAGAAGAAAATATGTGTAAAATCAATTTATAATTTCTAAACTGCCACCCATATATAAGCAGTATCTGCTGAATGATCATTGATTACTTATATCCTTAGAGATAACAACTGGGGGCACAAACATTTATTATCATATTGAACCTACAACAGAGACCTTTGTGTAGATTTACAAAGCCTGCAGTTCTATACAAATAGGAATGAACTATTGGCTTACTGAATGGTGATTACGTTCTGATTTACAAAGCCTATAGTTCTATACAGATAGGAATGAACTATTGGCTTACTGAATGGTGATTACTTTCTGTGGGGCTCGGAACTACATGCCCTAGGATATAAAAAAAATGATGTCATCATTATAGAGTGCTCACAGAAGGAAATGAAGTAATAGGTGTGAGATCCAGACCAAAAGTCACTTAAGTTTATTCAATGATGAAAACATGGGACAAATGGACTAGTATAAGGCAGTATACTAAGCTAAGTAGAGCGATAAAGTCCTGTCCAGAAGATATGTGCTCCCTGGCCTGATTGAAGAGACGGAAAATTTTTGCAAAAAACAAGGTGTTGTGGTCTTCCATTCAGTTTCTTAAGTGCTGATGATAGAAGTGAATTAGACCCACCTTGGTCTGGCTTACAGACAGTAAAGGAGTAAATAAATACAGACAGTAAATAAATGCCCCAGGTTTACAGACAGTAAATTTACAGACAGTAAATAAATGCCTCAGGTTTGCTTTTTGATTCATTTGATAAACAAAGCATCTTTTATGTGGAATGTACCATTCTGGGTCCTGAGGATGAGAGAGGTGAGGGGGCATTAGACCATTGACAGCTGAAGATAGAAGAACATCTTTAGTTTGATTGTGTAAATAATATTTCAGTGCCTATTCTCTGCAAGGTACTATGCTTGGTAAATTAGTAAATTAAATAGGTCTGGTCCAGAAGACACACTCAATTGCCTTTGAGATTTAAAAATAAAGAAAAAAGAAAGAAAAAGGCAAGTTTCTTTCAAAATAGAGACATTTTTCCTAGTTTCAGGAATCCCCCAAATCACTTGTTCATTGGCTTAGTTTGAAGCCAGGAGACTGATAAAAGGGCTCAGGGTTTGTTCTTTAATTTATTAAGCAAACATTCTGCTTTTATTACAGTTACATGGTTCAAGATGAAACAACTAGTTTTAAAGGTAGTTGCTCATTGGTCTGGCTTAGAGACAGGAAGACATTTGAGCAATACAAAAAATTCTTTCCCATTTACCATATTTAGTAAAAATTTATTAAAACTGAATAAAGTGCTGTTCTTAAGTGCTTGAAAGACCTAAACCAAAGTGCACTTTATCTCATTTATCTTATGATGGAAACACAGGAACACATTCTCTAAGAGACTGTGTTTCTTTAGTTGAGAGGAAACTTCATTGAGTAGCTGTGATATGTTCGATACTAAGGAAAAACTAAATAGATCACCTTTGACATGCTCTGTAGAGTGGGAATAAGAGAGGGCTTTTTATTTTTTCATTCATATGAATATTGATGAAGATGATACTAAATGCTAAATGAAATATATCTGCTCCAAAAGTCATTTATTTTGACTTGGAGATGCAACAAAAACACAATAAATGGAATGAAGTGATACTCTTCATCAAACAGAAGTGACTGTTATATCAACCATTGTGTTAAATCCTAGACAGAAAACAAAAAAGATCATGACTAAAAGACACTTGCTTATTAACTGGCTTGGAAAGTAGAATATAGGAGAAAGGTTACTGGGTTTTTTTTTTTTTTTCATGTATTCATTCATTCTACAAATATATTTGGGTGCCAGTAGGTACTTGGTATAAGGTTTTTGGCCCCAGAGACATGGGAAAAAAAATGCATGCCTTCCCAGAGAATGCCTAATACTTTCCTTTTGGCTTGTTTTCTTGTTAGGGGCATGGCTTAGTCCCTAAATAACATTGTGTGGTTTACTTCCTACTCCATATCTCTTCTACCACTCTGGCCACTACAATAAGCAGGTAGCTGGGTTTTGTAGTGAGCTTGCTCCTTTAAGTTGCAGGAACTCTCCTTATAATAGACACTTCATTTTCCTAGCCCATCCCTCATGAAAAATGACTGACCACTGCTGGGCAGCAGGAGGGATGATGACTAATTCCCAAACCCCAGTCTCATTGGTACCAGCCTTGGGGAACCACCCATACTTGAGCCACAATTGGTTTTGAAGTGCATTTACAAGGTTTGTCTATTTTCAGTTATTTACTTTTTACGTGCTGACACATACATACACTGCCTAAATAGATCTCTTTCAGAAACAATCCTCAGCTAATGCATAGCAAAATGGAGATGGAGACATGATTTCTCATGCAACAGCTTCTCAATTTATACCTTAGAAATGTCCTCCTTTTTATCAAATCTACTCAAGAGGGGCTTTTTATAGTAGAATAATATCAGTGGATGAAAACAGCTTAACATTTTACCATGCTTAAGTTTTAAGAATAAAATAAAAATTGGAAATAATTGGCCAAAATTGAAAGGAGATTTTTTTTTTTTTTAAAAATTTCTCTAAATGTAGGCCTGGCTGGGCTTTGACCTTTTCCATTTTAAATCACTCACAGAGGGTGGGACAGGAGGAAGAGTGAAGGAAAAGGTCAAACCTGTTTTAAGGGCAGCCTGCCTTTGTTCTGAATTGGCCTTAAGAACATTACCAGCTCCAGGTCTAAAGTGTTCAGTTTCATGCAGTTCCAATAACTGATCATTGTTGAGATGAGGACAAAATCCTTTGTCCTCACTAGTTTGCTTTATATTTTTGAAAAGTAATTATTTTTGTCCAAGTGCTTATCAACTAAACCTTGTGTTAGGTAAGAATGGAATTTATTAAGTGAATCAGTGTGACCCCTCTTGTCATAAGATTATCTTAAAGCTGAAGCCAAAATATGCTTCAAAAGAAGAGGACTTTATTGTTCATTGTAGTTCATACATACTTTCAAAGCATCTAAACTGTAGTTTCCATGGCAAGTCAATTGCATCCATAAGTGGAGAAGGAAATAGATAAATGTCAAAGTATGATTGGTCGAGGGAGCAAGGTTGAAGATAATCTGGGGTTGAAATTTTCTAGCTTTCATTCTGTACATTTTTAGTTAGACATCAGATTTGAAATATTAATGTTTGTCTTTTAATGTGTGGTATCAGCTGGACTCAGTAACACCCCTTTCTTCAGGTGGGGATGGGGAATGCATTATTGGAAAATGGAAAGAAGAAAGTAACTAAAAGCCTTCCTTTCACAGTTTCTGGCGTCACTACCACTACTGATTAAACAAGAATAAGAGAACATTTTATCATCATCTGCTTTATTCACATAAATGAAGTGATGAATAAATCTGCTTTTATGCAGACACAAGGAATTAAGTGGCTTCGTCATTGCCCTTCTACCTCAAAGAGAATTTATCCCAAAATGCTAAGATAAATGGAAGACTCTTGAACTTGTGAACTGATGTGAAATGCAGAATCTCTTTTGAGTCTTTGCTGTTTTGAAGATTGAAAAATATTGTTCAGCATGGGTGACCACCAAAAAGTAATCTTAAGCCATCTAGATGTCACAATTGAAACAAACTGGGGAGTTGGGTTGCTATTGTAAAATAAAATATACTGCTTTGAAAACTTTGTATTTTGATGTGACAATTTCTAACTCACTGTCCCTAACCACACTAATTACCCTAAGTTCTTCATTTCTTTTTTCTTTCTTTTTTTTTTGAAGATGGAGTCTCGCTTTGTTGCCCAGGCTGGAGTGCAGTGGTGCCATCTTGGCACACTGTAACCTCTGCCTCCTGGGTTCAAGCAGTTCTGCCTCAGCCTCACCAGTAGCTGGGATTACAGTTCTGAGGCACTATGCCTGGCTAATTGTTGTATTTTTAGTAGAGACGGGGTTTCGCCATCTTGGCCAGGCTGGTAACGAATTCCTGACTTCAAGTGATCCACCTGCCTCGGCCTCCCAAAGTTCTGGGATTACAGGTTCCCACCGTGCCCAGCCTCATTTCTTTCTTTTTTAAAACTACCTTAACCACCCAGTGCGGGTAAATGATTTGAAGTCTCATTTCTTATAGCGTCAGTTGTTTTGGTCAAGGCTACTGAGAAGCAGAAACCCAATAAAAAATGTGAGAAGCAAAAAACTATTGAGGACCAAAAGTGGGAGAGGAGCAGGGTATAAATAAACTGTAAGTCTGTGGGAATTAAGCATTTATGAAAGAGGCCCATACCCTGAGTAGGTGAAAGGATCCTCAGTGTTTCTGGAATTCGGAATGATCAAATACCCAAACATTAGATTGGTGACTTTATAGGTAAATGAACCAGCACAGTATTATTATTATCTTTTTGAGACGGAGTCTGTCTCACTCCAGACTGGAGTACGGTGGCGTGATCGGCTCAATGCAACCTCTGCCACCCGGATTCAAGCAATTCTGCCTCAGCCTCCTGAATATCTGGGATTACAGGCATGTACCATCACACCGGGCTAATTTTTGTATTTTTAGTAGAGACAGGGTTTCACCATTTTGCCCAGGCTGGTCTCTCAACTCTTGACCTCAAATGATCCACCCACCTCGGCCTCCCAAAGTGCTGGGATTACAGGCATAAGCCACCGTGGCCAGTCCCCAGCACAGTATTCTATAGGCAAGAGTTCCTACTGCTTTGTTGGAAATTAAACTGGAAACTATGGTGTTTTTTTGTTTTTTTTTTTTTGGACAGCCTTGCTCAGCCACCCAGGCTGGAGTGCAGTGGTGTGATCTGAGCTCACTGCAGCCTCCATCTCCCGGGTTCAAGCGATTCTCCTGTTCCAGCCTCCTCCAGAGTAGATGGGATTACAGACACCCACTATCATGCCCGGCTAATTTTTGTATTTTACTAGAGACTGGGTTTCACCATGTTGGCCAGGCTGGTCTTGAAGTCCTGACCTCAGGTGATCCACCTGCCTTGGCCTCCCAAGGTGCTAGGATTACAGGTGTGAGCCACTGCGCCCGTCCCAGTACATGTACCTTCAAAACCAATGCCTGAAGAACTCTTACCTATGTGTTAACAGTTGAATTTTGTCATTATAAATGAGTAGAGTTTGAGGTGATAAAGTTGACCCCTATCCTAGGGGTTGCTTCTGAACTGGGATGGTCCTACACGGACTTTACTCTTATTTCTTTGCAAGGCTAGATGTGTAGGACAGAGGGAAAGCAGGTGAGGAGGTAAGGAGACTTCCTGAAGTTATTCCTGAGTGTCTTCTGTTCCTCTGTCCATCCCTCTTGATTCCTTCAGCCGATCCTATTCCCACAGGGGCTTACTTCAGTCCCCTTGTCATATCTGCTGTGCTTACCCTTGTGTTTGTGGTGCTTTGGTCCTCAAATTCTCTTCATTCTCTTGTAAAATTTGAAGGGAGAGGAAATGAAAAACACCATGTCTCGTGGTTAGTGAGGAAAGGTCAGACAAGGCAATTTTATAGGGGCAGTAGGAATGTTTAGAAAATGTCAAAGCACTTGATAGTATTTTTCAGCTTTTGTATTTTTTATGTGGTGAGTATGAAGTGATCACTGTATGCTTGTAGTTAGATTTGGTGCCAGCCCAATCCACATCCACAAAAACTTGTGCCTCCTATCAGTTTACTCTTTTACCCTTGGTCATGAGAAAAGGTAATGTTACTGAGGCTAGTAGACTTAGGCAAGCATCTATCATTCAAATTTCAAAGTGGAATAATTTAAATGGGGTCTAAAATTTAGCCAGCCATTCTATTCACTGTGAATGGATAGGCAGGAAGTGTGCTAGTCATAGGTTCAACTTCTGACAAAGGTGGAGGTAGCAAGGAAAACCAGTTGAAGGACCTTAGTACCTTTCCTATGAATTATAGCAAATGGAGCACCAAGGCAATTTACATGGTAGCTGAGGACTCATTTGAATAGGTCTCAAAATTTAAACCCCACTCAGCTATATTGTTTCCATTGACTTGATAAAGGTGAACTTTTGAGGGGTTCTTATTGTTAGTATTTCCTGGGTCTGCCACAGTCTTTCTCCCAGTACCAGCTTTCCCAGTGATGAGCTTCCTTTTACCCACTCCAGTTTCTCTTCCCTGTGTACTCTGGATCAAAATTGTAACTCCTTTCTAGAGTGCTAGAACAAAAGCTGGCATCACTTGAGGGCCTAAGGAAAGGAGAGCAAAGGGAGAGTAGAATGCAAAGTGGAATGGGAAAGAAAGTTGGATTTGAGCAGCCTTGCAGGTAGTCAACTACTTAGGCAGAACCTGTCCCTTTTTGGGAACTCTGTGGTAAGGAAAAAAGTTCATAAGCAGACTTTGCAGGCAGGATTTTTAAAAATCTTAGAAAGACTCGCATTATGTAGAAGAAGAATGTCAAAGGTTGGGTGGCTTGTGAGGGATGAGCTTTGAGTGGACCCTACTTTATAATATTCCATGAAGAAATGATTAGATATATCCCAAAGACATAGAAAGACCCTTCCCCTTGTAGCCTTTTCCTTTCTGTTTTTTTTTTTTTTTCTTTTTTTTCCTTGCTAATGAATTATTCTGAAAGTATCCCAGGAAACGCAATGACAATGAGAATGGTGGAACAGATGTGGGTTCTATCTGGCAGTGGGCTATATTGTCTTCCTCCCCACCCCCAGAGGACATTTGGCTGAAGTACCAGAGTCCAAGAAATGTCTTGTTACTAGGCAGATAGTCTCATCTGCATAGTGTGGTGGTTTTACTCCCTCACTTCAATTCCACTGTATTTTATTTTGTTTCGCTGCATGATTGTGTTAGCTGTGTAATTCCCATTGGACCAATTAGAATTGTGTATCTAAATGCACAAAATAAAGATGAGGCACCTGAAACCCAGAGAAAATAACTCGCTCAATGTCACAGTGCAAAATAGCTGAAGTGACCCTAGATCCAAATTCACTTAATTTCTAAATGAATTCTTTTCTCACTGTATATTATCATAGCCTCTTTTATAACGGATACATGCTCATCAGGAAAGAGCTTGGATTATGAGTAATTTATAGTTAGAATGGCTCCTCCTAATCATAGCTAACCTTCAGTGTGTACTATTGTATGTCTTTATGCTCACGGGGAAATAAAGTCTTAAAGAATATCCAAAGAGAGGGATTATAGTAATTATGACTATTAGCTGGTACCTAAATGGGAGCAATGTGAACTACTTAAAGGAAGACACAGGAAGATAATTCATCTACCTCCGATTCCTCTACCTTGGCCCTATACCTTCTAGCCCAGGGAGATAGTCAGAACCAAGTGAAAATCAGTTTTTCTTCTATTACTACAGGTCTGCTGAAACTATAAAAGTATTAATTTGCCCTCCTGTAGTTTCCCATTGTTACCTCTCTTTTTATATCCGTTTTGTGACTATTACTTTTCTTTTTCTTTTTTTTTTTGAAACGAAGTCTCGCTCTTTTCCCCCAGGCTGGAGTGCGATGGCGTGATCTCATCTCACTACAACCTCTGCCTCCTGGGTTCAAATGAGTCTCCTGCCTCGGCCCGCCGAGTAGTTGGGAATACAGGCGCCTGCCACCATGCCCGGTTAATTTTTTATTTTATTTTATTTTTAGTAGAGACGGGGTTTCCCCATGTTGGTCAGGCTGGTCTAGAACTCCTGACCTCAGGTGATCCACCTGCCTCGGCCTTCCAAAGTGCTGGGATTACAGGTGTGAGGCACCATGCCCGGCCGGCTATTACTTTTCTACTATAAATGAAGACAAAAAGGGGCCTGGGATAGGCAGGGGTTGGAGAACTGGGGAGCAGACAGTCTCAGCTAAATCTTTACTTGTATTTGCTCATGGCTGGAGTCCAGTCATTGTGCTCCTCCCATTGTGAGCTAGAGTACTCACAGTTGCTACTTCCTGAAGAACTGGAAAACTTGTCTGGCACAGTATCCCATAGCATTTGGATTGTGGACATAGGAGGACAGCTGATGCAACCTGAATCTGCAGGGAGATAGACCATGAGAGAGAAGGCAGGTTGTTAGAGTACCTTGCATGGTACCATCCTATAATGCCAAACCAATCTCCTCACTGTCATCTCTCATGTTTGAATAATAATTGGAAAGAGCGAGACTTAGCAGGGAATAAAGTTACTTTTGAGCTACTACTTTTACTACTTAAAAAGTGGTGAATAGATAGAAATAGATTCCAGTTGTCCTCACCATATTAAGCTGTTGCCTCCAAAAGAAAGAGAATGAACCAAGAAGAATATAGTGGCCGCTCCCTAGTATTGGCTCAACTAGATTCTGAGAGAAGGGACTTTCTGTAAAGGCTGCTACCTGGTTTTTAATACAGCAACTAGACATATATTTTGGGGTTCTAAGATAGGGTTTTTGGCTCTGAGCAGCAGATTGCTGAGAAGCAGGACATGAAGTATGGGACTTACCTGAACTATAGCCAAATGGATGTGACCGCTAATTCTTGTAGATGGCAGGCTGGCTTTCGAGAGAACCCAGAATGAATAGTAAATCTCATTTTCAGCAGAAGAGAGTACGCTATGAGGTTCACAGAAAATAGCTCTAGTAACAACAGCCCCATTAGGCACTAGATTGGATACCAGTTCCCATAGGTAAAACAATAATATTAGCTATTCTGCAAAGGGAAAGCAAAAGCTAAAGAAAATTGTGAACCAACCATGACT